TTGGAAATCCTACAGGGCAGTTCTACTCTGTTCTATAAGGCTACTATTCAACTCGACAGCAATGGGTTTGGTTGATATATTAGTTAAGAGTTTAAAGTGCTTCACTTGTCAAAAACTGATTTATATCAATACAAAAGAATATTATACCACACTTAAAAATAATTAGATGAACTGCTGTGTAGTGCCTAAGGCATCTGACTGCTAACCAGAAGGCTAGTGGTTTAAACCCACAAGCCACTCCTCAGAAAGAAGGTTGGACAATCTACTTCTGTAGTGATACCATCACAGAAACACAAGGAGGGGTCACTATGAGTCAGATCCGACTCCACGACTGTGAGTTTGGGTTTTTTTTTTCTTGGTATGTAATAACAGGAAAAACCTCAAAGCTGTATCAAGTGAAACAATGCAAGAAGCAAAACAATATGATTGGTACAATACTTTGTAAGCAAATAAGAAAAAAAGTTAAAAGAAACTGTTTAGTGGTTACCTTTGGGAGAAAGAAACTTATGTAATAGAACAGGAGTGGAGAAGTGAGAGAAGAGAGAAATGTTTTCAATGAATAACTTTCTAACATAATTTTAATTTACTAACAAAGTGATAAAAAGTTGATTGGTGTTTTTTTATTTTGTAACAATATGCAAAAACATGTTATACTGTTTTAAGTAACGTGAAGTAGAGCAGATATGTCAGAAAAAGCTTCTACTTATGGTAATCACTACTTTTTTAGTTGTTTGAAAACAACTTAGTCAAAGCAATAAAAAGCGTTAATACTTCAAAATTCTCCCCTAAAACTTACAATATTAATGCTTAGTTTCCTTGCTAGTTCTTCATCACTTTTCAGCTGTTCTTCTATCTCTCTTTGCCTTTTTTCTGCTTGTCTTTTTTCCTCTTCTTCTTCCTCTGCCAATAATCTCTGTATGTATTCTTCACTGGCTTTGTTCTCTTCTTCTTCACTGGCTTGTCGCTCTGCCTTCACCTTGAAAATGATTAATAAGGATCAATCCTTACCTGAATTTTTCAGTATACTTGCAATATTTCATACTAAGTATAGTTACAGAAAAAAATCGCAGAAAATGAAACAGCACAAATGAAGTACAAATCTGGTGGTAAATTCCTACAGAAAAGCTCAAAAAGGATCTTTCAAGAAACTACCCCTAATCAATCTAATGTAACTTTGATCATATTCCCATTCTTCCTCTCCTCAGTCCTTATCAATTTCTATTATGCTATCATAAATTTGTGGAAGAATTTCTTGTTAATACTTTCCTCAGTTAACAGAGCGACATGCTGACTGACTTTGGCCTAGGTTCCTGGACATACTCCTAGCAAAAGGGATGAAATAATAAAAAACTGGCTTAGACGCATCAGGGCACATTCCTGAAGCTGAAGCCAATCCCTAAATACTGGGGGCAGGAATGGAACACACATTTAAGAAACAATCCTACTGGTCTTTATAGTTATTACGTGACTTACAATTGAGAAAAGTGAGATACAGAAAAACAAGTAACTTTTTAAAATCAGTAAGTGGCAGAACTGGAACTCCAACCATATTCTAGAACCTAAGAGCAGGCTTATAGACATTCACACTGTACTTCCTGGAAGAAATAATACAAGAACAATTTTAGCAATACAAAGAATTTGATTCCAGAATAAGCCTTGTGATCACTGCTTGGTCGCAGCCAGCTACCCAGAGGGACTGAGCAGTTTAACCTGCGGGCTTGGGACCATAGTCACAGGGGACATCAAGCTCAATTGGCATAACATACTATGCAAAACATTGTTCGACCTCCTACTTTGGCAAGTAGCAACTGGGATCTTAAAAGCTAGCAAGCTGCCATCTAGATGCAACGATAGGTCTCTCCTTGTCCAGAGCAAAGAAGAATGAAGAAAACCAAAATTCATGGAAATAATTAGTCCTAGCGACTGGTACACCATCTGACCTGCAGCCTATACAACTATGAGACCAGAAGAACTAGATGGCGCCTGGCTACCACTGTCATCCCTTTGGAAGGGGATCTATGTAGGAGATCCTTGATAGAGAGGGAAAACAATGTGGAACAAAACTCAAAATCATTTGGAGGAAAAAAAAAAAAATGTGGGGACCAGGTTTGCTGGTCCGATAGAGCCTGGTGGAACCACTGAGACTATGGCCCCTACCTGCCCTTCAGGTCTGGAATTGAACCCACACCTGTGGTTTTCAGCCAAACAAAATACAGACATATGAGTTGAACATTTACCTCAAGTAGATACACTCCTTGGAGAGAACAATCAATGGGAGAAAGAAGGGCTGCTTATGCACAGGGAGACAGCTCAGGGGGCAGGAGTGCATGGAGGGATGGACACTGAGAAGAGGTAACTAAGGGGAGGAAGTGGGAGGAGAGCTGTTATATTGTGGTAAACTGTGGTCAATGACATGAGACAAAGTATATGTGAACTGCTGTACGGAAAGTGAATTTGCTCTGTAAATCTTAACCCAAATCACAGTAATAATAAAAAAAAGAATAAGCCTTGACTGACTCAAGGAAAAAAGAGGGACAAATTTAGGGGCCTTCATTTATGGGATAAATAGCTTGTAAAGAATAACCCAAAATGCACAAACAGCAGCAGATGAACAGGACCTTCTAAAAATTATATTTTTATGCGCTTCAAAAGATACTTCCAAAAGAGTCAAAAGAGAACCTACAGATTGTTGCTGTTGTTAGGTGCCACTGAGTCGCCTCCAACTCAAAGTGACACTATGAACAACAGAACGAAACACTGCCCAGTCCTGTGCCAGCTTCACTAGGCTTGCTATACTGTAATCCATTATTACAGCCACTGTGTCAATGCATCCCATGGTGGACCTTTGCTTTTTTCAGTGACTCTCCACTTTACGAAGCATGATATCCTTCTCCACAGAATGGTCCCTTCTGACAACATGACCAGAGTAGATGAGAAGCAGTCTGGCCATTCTTGCTTCCAAGGAGCATTCCAGCTGCATTTCTTCTTTCCTTAAAAAATTTTTTATTGTGATTTTAGTGAAAGTTTACAGAGCAAATTCCCTTTTCATTGGCATAGTGCCTAAGGCATGTGACTACTAACCAGAAGGCTGGTGGTTCAAATCAACCATCCACTCCTCAGAAGGAAAGTTAGGCAACTGCAGCATAGTAAATTACTTTGTGTGGC